GTCACCTCGGTAGAATAGAACTGCCAGCCTTTTGTTTAGCTTTGAAGTACGTTGATCATTTGCGCCGGCAGCGACTCCTGATAGACACTTAAGTAGTGTCTATCACTACTTAAGACGGGTGATACCCATCCACAGCAGCTTCTGGGGGTCTCTTTAAGAGATCTGGTAAAAGTTCGAAGAACTTGAGAATTCACATAATCCAAACAGTCAGGGGCTTTTCCCTGTAGTGGATGGACACGGGAATTTGGCCCCAGCTTTGGCAGAAGTGTAGTGACCTGGAATGACAGGGAAATGGAGTGGCAGGGATTCAGAGCTCCCCCCGGCCTTGCTGAAGATGATAGACACGTGTTAGTCCTTCAAGTACCTGATGATCGCCAGCAGGCCGCGCTTGGCCATGGTGACCAGTGTTTAATGTCCCTGTCATCTGTGTAGCACTTCAGCTATGGACTTGCTGATAGCGGCAGACTTCAGTGTCCCTGTGAACAAGGCGCTGGTAGATTCGGAGTTGCCGCTTCCCTGGAGGCAGGACAACAAGTGGCAGCAGCTATTTATGCCAGGTGAAGGCTCACTGCTTCTGAGCATCTGCAGAGGAACCGAGAAAAATGCATCGGTCAAGGCTGTTTATGCATATAAGGTGCTAACTAAAGCCAGGAATGCACCAAGAACGCACCAGGAATGACTTCTTTAGCATTTTCTATCCTTTAATATAACTCATCTCAAATTCCAGCATGCTTAAAAGCAAAGCCACCTAGGGCACATAGAGCTACGAGGAGACACTGAAGCCTCATTTAAAATGCATGTCGCGGCTGGTGCTGAGATCAAGGCCGGACAAGGTCTGGTCTAACCCTGGGTCCCCACAGCCAGCCCTGGAGTGAGAGCCAGCTGGAGTCTCGCAGGAAGCAAGAGCCCAAGCTGTTGTCTCCAGTGAACTAAATCCTGGCGCTGTCAGACTTCTTACACCTGCCCCTCACTCAGTATCTGACGTTCTGCCTTCACAAGAACTGTGAACAATCTACTGAGTGTTTTGTGCATTTGACAACAGCAGACACCGCAGTGCTGCGCAAGAAGGAAGCTCCCGGTCAGAGGAGAGGGAATTTAGAAACAAAAGAGCCGGGCTTTAGGGACGAAGAAGACCTGGACCCCCTTTGTTAGGAGGCAGATGTGGGTCGTGTGGCTTATATGGGATGGAGTGGACCCCAGTCCCTCGGTGGTAAGAACGGTTTGCACAGTCTCTGCTGACTGAAAGGGTGCAGGTTGGAGTCCATCAGAAGCACTTGTGAATCAGCCCTTGAAAACACAGGGAGCTTGGTTCTGCTGTACAACACAGAGTTGCAGGGGTCAGAATCCACTTGAAGACATCCAGCTGTTTGGTTTTTAATGCAGTCACAGGTGGTGCGGCAGTCTCAGGCCCCTCCTCTCGGGGGGAGCAGAGCACAGTGCAGGGCAGCTCCGGAGATGGAGGGCATGGAGGGGTGTGGAGTGGGGTGTGGAGGGTGCTGAGCTCAGCTTCCCAGCCCAGGCTGGTGGCCAGCACTCCACTGTCTCAGAGTTCCTTCCCACCGCCTCTGGCCAAATGCAGTGTCTGCCATTTGTGACTTTTTGGGGAGTTAGGTCCAAAAACTAAGAAGCATTGATAGCTGGATGGTTGACAAATACCACAGTGTTTGCCTTGACAGTGACCCCTGGAACCCCTGGGAGTTTGCCCCAAAGCTCCCTCCACAAGAAAGAATAGGGCCAGGAAAAAGCATACTTCATCCTACATCCCTCAACTGTTAGAACACTGTGTCTCAGCTCACCGTCATCCCCAGCTGACCCAGGCTTCCTTACTCAGGAGTACGCACATAGAAACACCTTCCTAGCATGCTTTACAAACGAAACACAGCAAGCAGACCCACTGCAGTCTAGTGACTTCCGGCGTACAGCGACCCTCTGTCAGATTCAAGCTGTCAGTCCTCACTGCGAGGCTACCTGTCTTTCTCTGACAAGTGTCAAGTGGATACAAACTGCTGTGGAGCCCCAGAGACAGACAGACAGACAGACACGATTTACTCAGAACCACAGGCTGCAGTGAAGGAACAGCTGAACCGTCCTGTCTGTCTGAGCCAGACAGTGAGATGGCCGCTCGCTTATGATGCACAATTTCTTTTTTTTAGATCTGCATATCAATGAACTTTATTAAGATGGAATGACTGCTAATTGCATGAAGTTCCTTGCCAATGCAAAAAATCCATGAAGTTCACACAAACTTAAACAAAACAGATGGCATGTTTAAAACTGTAAGAACATATCCAGATGCCCAGGTGATGAAGGATGGGGTTTATCAGCCTGCACATTTATTTCAAGCCATTGAAGAGTTTGTGGGCCACACAGTGGTCCCTTGCATGCAAGAAGTCAAAGAGCTCCTCTGTGCAATCTTCTGTGTGTGATCGGGAGGACACACGTTCATCACAGAGCTCTAGTCATCACATCACAGAGCTCTAGTCGCTCCCTAGCCTTTAAACATTTTTCCATCTGCTCACATTGTTCTCTCACTGTTGTTAGGGGATCCACTAGTTCTTCCTCTTCTTCTTCCCCCTCCTTCCGATCTCCGGATCCAGTCAGCATCTTTTGGTCGTCCTCTAGTCCCATAGCTGGCTCGGTTTTAAATTAAAAAACAGCAGCAACAGAGACAGACACTCCACTTCAGGACCAAGAAGGACTTATAAGGGTCACTCAGAGGATATCCGGCGTCTTGGCCGGAAGTGCGGCGTACTCGTCTTAGTCGCGAACACAGGCTCCAGTTGGCATGTACTAACGGCCAAATACAGAAGGCAGGGGTGACTACTATTTGCACCCGAGGACACTTTGCCAAGCAATAATCCCTTGACCACGAGAGACCCAAATATATTTATTTGTACTGTTATTTAAAGTAATGGTTCTGAAAGAACTTGAAAAATATGTTTACTCTCTTGATGCTGCTTTATCATACTCATCATGCTTCCCTACAACTATGATAAATCCGTCCTAACTGGTGACCTTCTCAAGATGGCCGCCCTGATGCACAATTTCTGTTAATAATAAAAACCACTACACAGTGGATTCCTGGTCATCATCAGCTGAGTAGTTCCAGAGTGTGCTATTCATTTAAACTAGAGTGGCCGCGTCTCTGCACGTAGAGCTTGGTTGAACAAGTGTATGTTCCAATCAGTCACATTGGCCTCATCAGTAAAATACCAGCATTAGCAACACATGAATGGTTAAATGTGCATGAAATATACCAATGCAGCCTGATGCTTAATTTCTCCGTTATTGCACTGTTGTTATGTCACACTCAATATATACGTGTATGAGAATTTGCAGACTGTCAGAATGCTTGATTGCCCTCCACTCCCCAAAAGCACCTTCTAGAAGGAATTGCTAGGGTGTGAGAAGTCCTTGGGTAGTGCAAATGGTTACCACCAACCAAAGTTCTCTTAGAGGTGCCTTGGAAGAAAGGTGTGGTGACCTCCAGTTGAAAACTCAGCCATTGGAAACCAGCTGGGGCATAGTTATACTTAGGATACGCAGGAATTGGAGTCAACTTGATGGCAGCTGCAGCCTGGTAATACAGTGGTGAAGGTTGCACTTAGCTCCCAGCGGGTGGTGGTTTGTACCCCCATAATAGTTCTGTGAGAGAAAGACCCAGTAACCTCTTCCTGTAAAAATTGAAGCCAAGAAAACCTTCTGAGGTAATTCGACTCTGTTACTTGGGGTCCCACTGAATCAAAATCAACCTGGTGGCATCTAATGGCAGTGTAATCCCACATCAGAGAGACTGTAAGGTGGGGGGGACACCTCTCGTTACAGATGCCATGGTGCTTCACCTTGAAATGAAGCATGCTTTTGGGAGGCAGGCAGGCAGTGGCCTTCAGAGCAGGATGGCAAAGTGGACTCCCCTGCCAGCCTCACTGCCCTCCCCCGGTGCTCCTGCTGGATGCCCCTCCAGTACCTGCCTCTTACCTCCCGCTGTTCCGCTCATCCTCCCACCCTACCCCTTACTTCCTGATACCTGATGCTGGCTCTTAGTCCGGTTTTCTGTTTCACCCCTGGAGACTCAGTTTCCTTGTCTGTAAAATGGGGGTGGGCCATCGCTGCCTGCTTCACACAGTGTCTGAGGAGTGGATTAACCAGGAAGCCTAGTGTGTACCATCTTAGTGTGCCGTGTACACACGGGCTTCGCTCTGCCTCCCTTCTGATCCATAGTGGGCTGTTAGACCTGGACTTGACCTACACTGATCCGTTTCCTGGGAGTCAGAATCCCACTGCAGAGTAAACACACGTAAGCTAGTGTGGACCTTGATTACTGCACAGTCGTTCTTGAGCTAGTGTCAAACAAAAGGTATTGTTTCCTGCATGTGCTATAGAAATGTCACTGGCCAGCCTGTTCCTCAGCTAACACTGTTTGTATGCATAATTTCATTACTTATCCCCCACCCTATTCTATAGCGGATTTTTTTTTAATCTCTCCCTCATTACCCATTACTATGGTTGTTGTGTGCATGGAGTCAGAAATGACCCATCGCCGACCTTCCGGCAGGGTTTCAGAGGCAGTAAATTGCACAAGAGGAGATTGGCCCTTCTAAACCCATGGAGCAGCTGGTGGATTCGAACCGTGTGTGTTTGGGATTGTTTCCTATGACGAGGCCACTAACAAAGGCTAAGGTTTCTACTGCTTGGGTTTTGGCGGTTCCTTTGCAGCTCTCTGGTTCAGGCTGGCTGTCAGTCCTCCCAGCTCGCAGCTTATCCCGAGGCCGAGCTGGGTCCTGACCCTGACAGCACAGAAGCACGAACTCCCTGGAATGGCCCAGGCTCGGCCGTTTGCTCAGTTCTAGTTACAGTAACTCCCTTGAATCACCCAGGCCCATCCGCCGCTCGTTCTAATTCCACTGTCTCCTTTGAATGGTGGAGGACCGTCCCTCGCTCGTCTAACTGCAGTCACCTGAGTGCCCACCTTGAAAAGCACGTCTGTGTTTCTTCTGCAGAGCCGAGACTGTGTGAAGCTGGGACCTCCGCCTGAGGGAGAAGCTGTGCAAGTCAAGTGGTCTGACGGCAAACTCTACGGGGCCAGGTACCTGGGCTTCAACGTTGCCCACATGTACCAGGTGGGTGCCGCCCTGGGTGCGGTGGGTGTCATCCTAGGCACGGTGGGCCATGGGCACGGTGGGTGCCACCCTGGGCGCGGTGGGTGCCATCCTAGGCACGGTGGGCGAGAGCTTATCGAGTGTCCATGTGAACCTGGGAATCTGTTGGTTTTGGTGTGTTTTTTGCTGTCGAGTCAGAACTGACTCATGGCTGATCCTGCAGGTTTTCAAAGGCTGTAAATCAAATAGGAAGAGATCGCGCATCTTCGGTGGAGCAGGTGGTCCATTCCGCCCGCCTGCCTGTGGACCGTGCTGCCTCTCTACCAGCGGCACTGCGCTGGCCCAGCAAGGGGAATGCCCACGGGTTAGCACGTCACTGTCACCCCAAATGTCTGCTCACTGCTACTGAAAGTTCCCAGCCTTAAAAGCCCTGAGGAGCCATTCCGTTCTGCATATGTGGGAGTCCCTGTGATCAGAATTCAAATCCTATTGAATCAGAAAGTTGGCTTATTGATTTCAGGTCAAAAGGAGGCCGACACTCAGTGTCTGACCAGATTGACCCAGTCTAACCACCAAGACTTGGAGAAGTTAAGTCAATAGCATTTATTTAACTGGCTTAATTATAAGGAATATGGTCATTGCTGCCAGCTGGGTCTCTGGCTGTGGTCCCGATTTTTCCTAATGTGGGGAGAGGCTGCCAGCTATTTAGGCTCCCTGGAGCCCAAGCTCTTCATCCGCCCACCGCCCCGAATTGAATCAGCAGTGTGTGCCTGGAGGACGTGACCCCCTGGACTGCTCAGCAAGCCTGCACTCGGGGGCCCCGACGTGAAGTAGCCAGTTAGTATAAGAGGGGCTGTGGCTGCCCCCCAAGGCTTGTCTGAACTGGTTTCACATCACCCCCTCTTCATTAGGTAACTCTAAAGGGACCTCTGGTGGAACAGTGGTTAAGTGCCCATCTGTTAACGTAGGGGTTACTGATTCGAATGCACCAGCCAGTCCATGGGAGAAGGAAGTGGCCGGCTGTTCTGTAGACGATTTTAAAATCAAGCCTATTGTGACTGAGTGGATTCTGGCCCTTGGCAACCCTTCTCTTCACCTCTGAGGCTTTAAATCTTTACAGGAAGAGACTACGCATGCTACCTTTGAGTGGCTGGTGGATTTGAGCCACTAACCCTTTGGTTAGTCCAACATGAAATGCGCGACTCCACCAGGTTCAGGAAACTGTGTGAGGCAGGTATACTCTGGCAATAGTGTTGCTAAGACTTGGAATTTGCTTGATGTTAGTGGATTTGATTTTTGCTTTTCAGATACTGCTGCATGTTGTTATTAAGGAGTATATATCTAATTAAAGAAGGAAAATACTTTCTCTCTCCCAGAAATGAGAATGAGCTAAACTTTAAGGAGGAAACAGCCTGGGTCACATGAATGCATTTATTTTCCTTCAGGAAGACTTTAAGTAGTGACACGCTTATTAGAACCAGTACATTATTTCAGTAACATGGAGAAAGAAATCAGCATTCTCGGGCTGCGCAGTAGAGCGCAAGGGAAGACTGAAGTAAAAGAAGTCCGGGCCTGTTAAGTTGAAGGACGGCTTAAGAATGATAAGAGTGCTAGCTGCAGCAGAGAAATTGTTCACGGACTGATAAGGGACCAGACCTTAAATTGAAGAGTACGTTAGAAGACACTGTTTCAGCAGCTGGAGCCCAGTGTAATGAAAGATGTTCAGAGAAGTTTGGAAACTTAGGTGAAAACTTTTCAGATAGTATGGAAAACCCCGGAGGGAATAGAGAAAGTTGTGTACCTGTCCATAATATGTATGTGTATATATGTGCGTGTGTGTCTGTCAATGTGTGTACAAGTGTGTATATGCATGTGTGTACAGTGGGTGGTGTGTGACTCTGTGTGTGGACCATCGCTTCCTGTGCACAGTGCAGTGTTACATAGCAGCTTCAGGTGGTTGGTGCATGACCGTGTGTGTGTGTGTGTGTGTGTGTGTGTGTGTGTGTGTG